GTGCGCAGATATCCCTTGTATAGCTTTGCTTGAACATTCTAAAACAAATAAACAAATCAATTATTGAAAATTGTAGCAAATCCATCTTTATTCAAGGAGAAAAAATACATGGAAATAATTAGGGCTAAGCCCCTAAGTAAATGATGCAGGTCATATCTTCTGCTATGTTCTAATGCTGTACCTATGTATACGAGATAATCGAATTTATTCATTTCGTAAGACTTTGTTGTGCAGTATCACCTCTTGAATTGCTAGTTTTTTGCTGACCTCATCTTTTTGATATTGCTGTTTGACCTATCGTGAATCAAGTAAAACATTTCTGCTCTTGAGTTAACGTTCTATTTCTATGAACGCAGCATAGCCTCCCAATAGCACAGGGGTCTGTGGACTTATACTGCTAGAAACCGGGTTTCGAAACCCGTGGTGGGCAAAACACAGATAGCCCTTTGTGTAGCTTTGTGCTTAATAACAAACAACGAAACAACAACGAGCACAGCGTATAAATATATATCTAAGTAAATAGGCTAGACCTTTACCTTGCTGGAGGGCTTAATAAAATCTATTGTACTGAATACATGATATAAAAAAATTATAGATAGATGCAGAGTACAGATACTAGATGTACTTCCGCAGGGTCCCCGAAAGTGTTCTGTTTCAAAGGTAAATGAAACCAAAATTAAAAGTCATAAATGTTTTTATTTTTTTGCTTTTTAAGTTCATATGTCATGCTGTGTTGTAGCTTAAAGAGAATATAATTCTTCATGGCATACGCACGTTTTACTGACGTCAGGACAGTACAAATTGCAATTTTAAGCGTCCCGTATGTGACGTCATTTTAACGTCTACTGACTGACTGACAAACACCATACTACCGTATAATGGTGCGAGCGGGTAAAACTTAGGCCCCCTTTCGGGGAAAATTAAGCTGAGCGAATACTTCTAACTGTCCGCATTCACAGTAAATCAAGTGATAAGAAAGGAAAGTTTATGTTAACTAGAATATTGAAATAGATGTCCATCGCCATTAACCTCTAACTGACCCCAACGTCAGATCCGGAATATGTATCGATATATCGATTAAAATGTGCTGAAACAAACCAAAAGTTTGTGAATACAAACACCAAGGGTGTATATTACGCATGAAATACACCTTAAAATGCTGACTATACAAACACTTTGAAACTAAAACGACGGACTAAAAAAACGGTAACTCATGTAAACCTGACATATATATATATATATACGAAAACAGACAACAGATAACTGGATAAGATTCAAGTATATACTAGCTGGAATATCCATCCGTTGAATGGATGAAATATAAGTTTGTTTGTAATTAAGCACAAAGCTACACAATGGGTTATCTGTGTTCTGGCCACCACGTGTATCGAAACACGGATTCTAGCGTTGTAAATCTGCAGAAATACCGCTGTGCCACTGGGAGGGGCGGATGAAATAAAACGCGTTTGTAACAAAGGATATGAAATTGTGCTTCTATATCATTTCTTAACATAATAAAAATTAAATGTGCAATACAAGTACACAAAGGTAGCATCCTATATTACTGTGTAAAGTTTGGTGCTGGTTGATCAAGAAATGTGGAAACGTATGAGGAACAAATGGCTGAAAGGTGCGAACAAAGAGACACAAACTTAGCTTTATATATTAGATAAAAGAAAATCAGATTAAGATAAAGAAAGAAATAGAATGAACAGATAACAATACACGAACACAGACAGACACCCAGCACATACACAGGCAAATAGATGAATGAATACTCAGGCAGAGAAAATAAAGTTAAATATCCTGTTGGTAGATTCATGTATATTAACTAAGAATTGATAAAGAATAACTGGTAGATGACTTCCAAATGCGTATCCATAGTAACGCTTCTGCAGAATGTCATTAATCACTTGCCCCAGCTACAGGAAATGTGGGTCTTGAGATGACTAGGTTAGGAACACGAGGTCAGAGTTCATCAGTCTTTTTTCATTCTGACCAACCCAGTGATTGACTGGCGTAACTTCCTGTATCTCCCAGTGACAAGCAGATGTCTTTAACTTTATAACATCATGTTTTTACAACAATTAAGCTTAATCTCCATATAAACACAAAATATAAAATGAATGAACAAAATAGAAAATATCAAGCAACGCCTCCATTGGACTTTCTAAGGTGTGATGTAAAAACATGCTGTAGCTTAGAATTAACTCATGTTTGTGGCAGCTACACGTTTAAAACTATTCCATTACAATAAAGTCACTTCAGACAGCGATACAGATATGAACTTGGCTGATGTAGTCTTAGCTTAAAATTACACTATATGTCCCCACATATGTGAGCTGTGGAGAAAAGTATTACATGTTCAGCAATTATATATTGATTTCGCAGCTAATGTGCCCCCGAATGCCTCAGCAGTATCTGGACTTATCATGTTAAAATTCAAGTTTAGATACCCGTAGTGGGCACAGCATAAATAGCCAATTGTGTAGCTTTGTGTTTAAGAACAAACAAATAAATCCTCAAAAAGCTTAGTCTCAATTATAAAATCATTTTCAAATATTCTCAAAGCTTATACTTCTGACTGAAATATGGCAAGACAAACAAGGTTTTGCTTTTATATTAACATATTAGTTTGAACTTCCCAATGCTCAGTTCTGTTTTAGTAGTGTATGAGCATAATAAAGTGAATAGGAATCGTGTGGAATATGCTTTAATCGCAACATTTAAAATCTCAGCTCATAAAGTTCACACAAATCAATATCCAGAGTACATTTTTTGTTGTTGTTGTTTTTTCTTCTCATTAACAACGAGTCTTACAAATCAAAGGCAATCTCCAAGTAATTGCAATTTTAATGTCATATTAAGCGATAAAAAACGTCGATGCATTGCGATTTATAACGTTAATGATAATGTGTGTGTATATATAAACATATATTTTAACTGTCTTCCTTTTGTTTGAATATCAATATTCATAAAACACACAACCAAGAGTACGTTATGCTCACTCAGCCTGAGTTAATGTTAAAAAGTTACAAGGATAATTCTTCCTGATGTCGAAACCGAGCCACAGTGTTCTAAAAGTGCATGTTTCTATGTACGAGCAAGTGTAGGGAAATGTTATATGTTACGATTAAAGCTACTTACGTAATAGATGTACTGTTAACTATTTCCGAACTCAAACAAACCAGACACATATGCAGCAAAACAAGGACATGTACATATACAGGGATATTTACTATTTTTATACACAAAATACGTACTCATAAATGCATCATACATAGATACATATATATTTTACATTCAGTCGTCACATGATCACACTCTTTGTTTATAGTGTTTCCAATTATGTGTTTGTGTATATATATATGTGTGTGTGTGTATATAAAAACTGTTTTACATAATAAACACATGTACTATCTTACAGCTCAACCCAAATGGGTTTAAACTGGTATAATAAGTGTAATAACATAACGACACATGTCAATCCTATTGGATTTAAACTGATATGATAACATAAACACACATCTCAATCTTACTGGAAATAAACTGGTATGATAACAAAAAAGGCATGGTCTAACCATACCGGACTGAGATTGTTAAGTTAGGAAGCGCGATTTTGCGGTAACGAGACGCGATCCATGTAGCCTTAGATCCATAGTTAACACACTAACCACTAGGGTACCAAAAGTATTTTACGAACACTGGTTTCATGGAGTAATATGAAGCATTGAGAGAACTCTTTGTAATATGCATGCCTTAAGTTCAAGTTGACATTGAAATATTTCGCTAGTAATTTTGCTAAACACATGAAACGTATGAACCTATGGAAAATTTTGTTTTAACAATGACCAGTCTTAACACTCATAGCTTTGGGAGAGAACAGACGCTGACGATGACAAACCAATTATTTGCGATTGAACTGTTATGTGAATTCTAGATATTATAAACAAAAGTATTTAAAATTGGATAGTGAGTTAGTATCAGTGAACTTTAAACCTAACGTGTGGTTGGGATGTGCAAAAAGACCTCAACAAGTTCATGTAATTTGAATTTTTCTATAACTGTTTTGTCGTTATATGCACGCTTGTTCATTAAAGAATCCTAATCGTACTCGTAATTAAGATAACAATTGAGAAAATGTACAAATGAAAATTATATATATAAACTGATCACCTTCTTTGCTATAGATGTTTATGTAACAAATCTTTTATCTTCCATTTTATCAGTTGTTTTTCTTTAAATTCATTCACAAACCTACTTTTTATCTTAGCAAAAATCAGCAACTTCATCACTTGCCAGCCTCTTATTCCAGCTTTCAATAACTAGATGATAATTTGGTAGAAACAAACAGGTGTTTTGGGTGTAATCTAAATTCAGAATGCATAGTACAGTTTCTGGTTCAATTTTTTCTTTCACATCTAACTTTAGTTTTCAGTGAATTATATTAGTAAGTATCTTTATATTCTGCTGCACATGTAAGTGATAACTGACAGTTTACAAGTTTCTTAAAAGAAAATATCACCTTTCATCACACGATCATTACCAACTCACTTATGTTTAAATGTCCTGAAGTTGTATACACAATCATAATCATTTTCTAAATAAGAAACATCGTGAACTTGGCTTTATGTGGAATTACTCACGATACAAAGAACTGGCTTCTTCCTGTATGCTCGGTTTTTATTACAGTATTATTGTCTTTATGAATTGAAGCAAGTTTCTTATTTTTTAATAAACTAATTGATGCATGCGCTTAATTATACTTAAAAATTAAGCGCAATTTTTTATTTAAAGATTTTATATTTTCTATGCTGAATTTCTTCTTCTACTTTTAGCAGTTGAGCTCATTTACCAAAGCTTAGTTTGGCTACCGTATTTTTTTATGTTCTTTGTTTTCTGCCTTCGCCGCATTGCAGTTCTCTATCTTATGCTGTGATCTTCGTAGCTTTGCACAAAGAGCAGCTAGAAACTGCATTCCAGAATGACTGTAACTTAAGACGAGTGTGCATTTGATGCGCTATGAAATAGAGCACACTTCGGATTATAGACAGAACAAATTGAGGGTATCTATCCTGTCTCGTAGTCTGCATGATTCGTCCCCACCTGATAACCCATGTAAGTAGTACGCCAACGATCGATAACCCCTAGCGGGAGACAGTAGTCGGGCTCGCCGACTTTGACGCTTGTCCGTGGCATGCATATTACTCGATTTTAACCTGACTAACCTCGTTCTCGCGGACTTAAGGAGGCGTTGTTGTTCCTGTCTTGGTGAGCTCGTAGTGTGAGTAGAGCACGCGCAGCGCGCATTGTAAAGATGTCTCTGGTTACTGAAGAGAAGATAATGTTCTCCAGCCTTGTTGGGTGCTAAATAATCCACTCTAGTTTCTTGCCGACGAGCAGGAAGTCGCCGTCATTTTCGTTTGAACCTCCACGACATATGTGATGGGAAAGGTGGAAGCTGTCGAGCAACGATTAACCCTTCTCGGTACACGATGAAAGCTCGGCGGTGTACAGTGGGCTGCTGAAGAAAAAGAAGAGAAGTATATTTTGGCAACAGACTACCATCAAATGGTGTCAACTAGCTAGATGACACAACTTACTCTGACACATGATGGTTTGCTTCTGTGCTCGTGCTGCTGATAATAAACCTGGACGAGTCCGAAGGCTGACCTCAAATCCCAATGTCTCTGGGCTATAACACGGATTGTTCTTTTTGCAATGTTATAGTCTACACGCTCACATGAAAGTAGGATTAATAGATCTCTCTTCGAGTATTCCGTGGCTCCGATGTCGTTCCACGATGCTTGCATTTCTCTACGCACTCATCACATCAGAGCTGGTTGTTTACAAGTTAGGTGAGTTGTTTATTCGCAATTCTAGATTTCGCAAACTCTTGAGAAAAACACGTTGTCTTACATAAGTCATCTAGTTGATAATAACCTTCAATGGAAAAACGTGTGTTTTTTTTATCCTTTTATGTTAATGGCTTATGAAACAAAGGTTGTACACCGTAAGTAGAGCCACAGGATAATAACACGTTTTAATAAAAACGCGAAATAAGCTTGACTTAAAAGACGGTGATATACATTGTGATAGAGAGGGGGAGGGGGTATTATTGACTTAAAAGACGGTGATATACATTGTGATAGAGAGGGGAAGGGGGGTATTATTGACTTAAAAGACGGTGATATACGTTGTGATAGAGAGGGGGGGGGGTATTATTGACTTAAAAGACGGTGATATATATTGTGATAGAGGGGGGTATTAGTTAAATAGCACTACTTATAATTATACATAAAGCATCAAACATTAGGATTGTTTGCAGATTTTCAACTTATACCGTACGATAGAAGCTATATGAGATTCTGGTATTGTTGTTTTTATTTTGTTTGCATTGTGAGTAACTATCTTTTCAGCTTGGATGCTACAACATCTCGAATAGAGCACAAGATACACGTAAATTGATTGATGTGATATTATTAAAGAATGCCAGGAAAACATTTATACCTTTAAATAACAATGCAAACTGAAAGTTTTTTGATCTGACAATACCCCAGATTTCATAATGCGTACGTTTAAATTAGAACATATTGTGAATCAAAGGTAAATGTAAAGAATGATATGCATTCATAAACATTCTATTACATTTTCTTTCAGTCGAAAAAAGTACAAAATTTGTATTTTGTCGACCATCTTAACTGTTTGTTTGGTCTTTTGTGTTTTTGCATCAGTGTAAGTATCAACACTAAAACATTAATTGGTAAGGACTTTAGAAGTATGAAATTATTGTGGATGACTGGAAATATGTAAGGTGCACCAGGGAGATGACCGGAGATATATGTCTGGGGAGTGATTGGAAATATGTAAGGTGCATCAGGGAAATGACCGGATATATATGACTGGGGAGTTACTAGAAATGTGTAAGGTGCACCAGGGAAATGACAAGAGATATATGTCTGGGGAGTGACTGGAAATATGTAAGGTGCACCAGGGAGATGACCGGAGATATATGTCTGGGGAGTGACTGGAAATATGTAAGGTGCATCAGGGAAATGACCGGATATATATGACGGGGGAGTGACTGGAAATATGTAAGGTGCAACAGGGAGATGACCGGATATATATGACTGGGGAGTGACTGGAAATATGTAAGGTGCAACAGGGAGATGACCGGAGATATATGACTGGGGAGTGACTGGAAATGTGTAAGGTGCACCAGGAAGATGACTAAATATATCAGGGATGCCAGGGAGATAATCAGAGATATATGTGTGACTGGAAGTAAATATGGTATGCCTGTGGAATGACCGGAATTATAGTAAGCTTGCAGAGTGGCTGAAAGTATGTAACTCGGACGCAATTACCTGTCTTACTGATTGGATCATGCTTCAGGTTCCCAAGCTCCCAATTCTTTGTGGCCCCTGCAATAGTTAACAACAGAGGTTAAGAGAACCCCATGCGATTATTCTCCACGAGTCCCATGGGATGTAGCTACGCCACTAAATATGTAAGGTATGCTTGTAGACTGACTATAAAGATATAAGAAAGTGTATGTATAGACTGACCCGAAAAATGCATAGTGCATACATGTGGATTGACTGGAAACGTATAACGTATGCTTAAAATTATCAGAAAAATGTACGGCTTGAATTTGTGGAGTGACTAGGAATATAATAACATCACAACTCAAGTTACACATGTAAACCCCAGTCACATGTTACACATTGCCATTCACTCCACGGATATATATATATATTACGAATTTTCAGTCACTCAACAGGCATACATCATATATTTTCAGTCACTCAATAGACATACATCACATATTTTCAGTCACTCAACACACATACATCATATATTTTCATTAACTCAATAGACATATATCATATATTTTTAGTAACTCAGTAGAAATACATCATCTATTTTTAGTAACTCAATAGACATATATCATATATTTTCAGTTACTCAACTGATGCGAACCACTTAAAAGATATACATCATATATTTTCAGTTACTCAACTGATGCGAACCGCTCAAAGGACATATATCATATATTTTAGCATTCAATTGATGCGAGTCACTTAACAAACATATATCATGTATTTTCAGTCACTCAACTGATACGCACTATATATTTCCAGCCACTGTGTAGATATAAGATATAATTGTTCTAGTGACTCAAGTCACTACATCATATATTTCCAGCCACTCCACTGATATGTGTTATTTATTTTCAATTATTCTGTAAATATAACCAATAATTGTTCTATTCATCAAGCATACATACCTGATATATTCCTACTCACTCCACAGAGACAAGATCTGATAATCGTACTCACTCCACAGAGACAAGATCTAATATTCCTACTCACTCCACAGAGACAAAATCTGATAATCGTACTCACTCCACAGAGACAAGATCTAATAATCCTACTCACTCCACAGAGACAAGATCTAATATTCCTACTCACCCCACAGAGACAAGATATAATATTCCTACTCACCCCAATAAGACAAGATCTAATATTCCTACTCACTCCACATATATCAATGTTATATTTTTAACCACTTCACAATACATTCAAAGTAGAGTTTTTTTTTAATTTTACAATAAGATAATAATAAAAAAATTCTTAATTGATGCAGAATGTGGTAGGTTGAATTTTCATGAAAAATCGAGACATCGAAAATGTGTAGAGGTTTTTGTATGAGATAAATGTCACTTATGAGCTGAAGGTGCACAATAATTAAATTATCGTTCAAATGATCTATCATTATTCACTATCCTTATCTACTAATTAAAATACACAAGCGTGAAGATGAGTAGCCCTGCAGTCTTAATGTTTGAACACAGGTATACTTACACACATGTAACTGTAGATGTTCCTTTCTTTTATTTGAATGTGTGCCTGAATAAAATATGATATGCTTGCTATACTTTATTATTCAAAGTCGGGATTCCAGATGACATACTCATTATTGGCCTTTTATGGATAAAAATAAACGAAGCAAAAATAAACAACTCCTAAATATTAGGTTGTCAAGAAATTTATGTCGCGTTTTGGAACACTTTCATTAACCACCCCCCAAAAAACGTACATCACGTATAATAGTTAAACTAATCGCCTAAATGTCACGTAGTCTATATAATGTGTAAAGTTTAGTATACTCTAATCCCTTA